CCCCCCCCGTCGCTTGTTCTGCGATTAATTTCACAACCCTCCTAACCTCTTTTTCGGTACCTGTTCCCCCCTCTCCCCCTCAATTCTTCCCCCCCTCGTTTTGTTCTAATTATACCCCTATTCTTTCCACCCTCGTTTTGTTCTATATATAGATATATATTTTTTTTCTCTCTTTATGTTTTATTTATCAATATGCATATACTGATTTTTGTAAATAGAATTAATTAGAATAAACACTACTATTAAACAGAACAAACAGACTACGCATATACTGATTTGTAAATAGAATTAATTACAATAAACACTATTAAACAGAACAAACAGACTAGAAGAAATAAAAGAATGTCAGTAAGTAATAGAATAGAGTAGATAAGCTAACTATACAGATGTCAATACAAGAACCAAAATTACATACATTGACTTTCCTAAAGGTTTGATGATGCCTGTAACAGTTTTGCACAGGTGAACTCAGAATTGGACTTGGACTGGTAGTAAAGTGATCTGGCTGGCGCTTTGCTGCCAGGTCGCAGGTTCGATTCCTAAAACATAACACCAGTAGCCTTCTTTTTAAGGAAAAAAAAAAATCGCGCAATGCTGGTGAGACTCTGTAGAGAGCGTCTGGGATAAGGTGTGGGTGGGGTACGACCCCAGCGATTGCGCCTTTCAATCAGACTGTTGATGTCAATCACGAACGTTATGTTTGCAGATTGTTATTTCTGCAGGTTGAGGGTTCAGCCTCCTGATGAATCGATCGGTGAAACTCCGACGAAACAGTTTGTCACAGCAAACCTCGTTTCTTGTCCTCTTCTCCCTCTCCCTCCCTCTCTGCCTTCGCTCTATCCGTAGGCAGCTCTGTTTGTCAATATATATATGAACAGTTGGGGCATTCCTTCCTTTCTTCTTTTCCGTTCCTTGTTTTGCTTTTTTTCGCCTTCGCGCTCTGATTTACAGTGTGACAATATATATATACATACAATATATATACAATATACATACCATAGAAGTATATCGTAAAAGCAGAACTGCCTACGGTAAAGCGAAGGCAGAGAGGGAGGGAGAGGGAGAAGAGGACAACAAAAGAGGTTTGGGGTGACAAACTGTTTCGTCGTCGGAGTTTCACCTACTTACTTATCGATAAGGAGACTGATACGTACTTCAAAATTTATTTATTTGTCTGTCTGAGGCTCCGAGTCAGTATAGTGTCCTTTTGAGGGCACGCGTTGGCGTTGAAATTGAGGAGCTTGG